GGCTCGCAGGGATGGGGACACACAAGGATGGGGACAGCTGGCTCGCAGGGATGGGGACAGCTGGCTCGCAGCTTGCCTGGGGCTACTGCAGGATGTTTCCACCGGCCGATTAGTGACCTTCTTTCCTCCCCTCTGTCTGTGGCACTCCCATGACCCCTTTTTTCCTTTTCCTCCCCCTCAGTTTCCCCAGTGTCACACGCGGCAGCTGCCGTGGTGGGTTGGAAAGGGGAACGCCTGGCCGGGCGCTGGCGATGCCAAAGCAGGGCCCTGGTTTCTCTAACTTTAGCAGCTGGGGTAAAGCGAAGCTGTGACTAGTCTCAGTTCCTAAAATGGAGCAGAGGCTCTCCCCGCCGCGCCGTCATGTGAGCGGGCTGGGAAGTCCCTCCAGCTCATGTGCTCCCTTGTTGCCAGGGAGGTTTCTTTGCTCCTTCCAGATCACGGTGTGAAAAGCGGCCAGGCAGCCGCTCACGTTAGCAGAAACTCGGGGAAAAAGTGGAAAACCCCTTCAGCTGGGTTTCCCCCTCTTCTCCCTCCAAGGAAAGTCTGGCTTGGCAAGGAAGGATTTCTGCTCCAGACCATGCATCTGGGTGGCATCAGGGAGAAGAGAGGGAAAAGGGTCCAAATCCTCTGAATATATGAAATGCCGATGGTGTCAGAATATAGCGGGGTGCATGGGGATAGCAGAATTTCCAAGACCTGAGCCCGAATAGCCGCAGTGCCGATGCCGTGAGCATCCTGCCCTGTGCAGCAGCACGGCTCGTACAGCCCTGCGATCCTCACGCCTTCTCCAGTCTGCAGGAAGGAGTCTTGCTCTTTACAGGTCTTGAAATAGCTGCTTCTGCAGCGTGCTGAGTCGGGACTCTGGAGTCCCAGCATCACTGGCTGCTGTTCTCTGAACTTTGTCCTCTGGGACAAAGTTGCTGAGATGTGACGTGATGCCATTGCATCGCCCCTGGAAGGTTATTTCGAGCCTCTCTGAATTCCTGGCAGCTGGGCTGGCCAGCCGGGAGCCAACGTCTTCAAATTGGGACCTGCAGCATCTGCCCAGAGCCACAGCTGAGCGGTGATGGAGTGTGGGGATTGAGGGCTCCCAGGGAAAAAGAAACTCTGCTTCAGTCCCAACTGTCATTTGCTTTTCCCTGGGACTGCGGGGTAGTTACGCCAGCAGAGCAAGAGAAAGGAGTAGGAGAGATCAGATGGAGAAACAGGGGCACAGGGATGCAAGATGTGCACAGGGGGAGAGGTGGAGCAACTCCTGGAGGCTTGGGAAGAGCTGAGCACAAACCTCAGCTCGTTGCAATCGCCAAAGATGGGGCTGTGGGCAGGGCTGGAAGGGGAGAAGCCTCCTGGGCACCGTGGGGAACCTGGATTGTCCCCTTCTGTTCTCCCTCAGCTGGACCTGAGCTGAGCTTAGTGCCCTGGGAGGGGAGCGGCAGTAACTACAGCGGGGAAAACCCTTCTGAAAATCCTTCCCAAACTGCACCAAAGCATCTCGTTCCTGGTCAGTGTTGTCCGTGCTCTGTGTCTGATGCTGTCTGAATACACCCTGCTGACTCCAAGTGTTCTGCTTGTTCTCCCATATTAAAAAAAGAAAGGCAAATGTAGCCACCTTCAAGTAAGAGCTGCCAGAATCATGTTTCCTATAGCTTGGTCAGGAGCTATCCCTGGATGACAGTCCTTGTCACAGCCCACGTGGCAGTTTAACATCCCAATGCCAGTTCCTATTTGGCTGGAGGATTGAGCAAAGTCCTGGCACTTCCCGCCTCGGGCTAAAGTATTGATGTGACATTGCAAAATGTTGTAGGGAAGTCACTGGGGACTGTTTCTAAAATTACTCAAGCCAGTGTCCTGCCACCAGTGGGCAGAGCAGTCAAACTGGGAGCCTAGGAATGGGTTTCCCCGTGAACACCATCCCCAGCAGCAAGCCTTTCTGCTGACCTCGCTCTCCATCGCTGCTCCCCAAGGTGGTACCACGGGCACCTCACCGGCAAGGAGGCAGAGAAGCTGCTGACGGAGAAGGGAAAACCAGGCAGCTTTCTGGTCCGGGAGAGCCAGAGCAAACCCGGAGACTTTGTATTGTCGGTGCTGACAAACGAGGATAAGCTGGAGACTGGGGATCGGAAACCACACGTCACCCACGTGATGATCCACTACCAGGTGGGAAACGTGCTGTCCCTGCCCGCCCTGCGATGGGTGCTGGGTGGTGACCCAGCTGGGAGCTGGGCATCCGAGTCTCACCCTGGTTTTGTCCTTCTCTCCTCCAGCTGGACGGGAAATATGACGTAGGGGGAGGCGAGAGGTTTGACACGCTCACGGACCTGGTGGAGCACTATAAGAAGAACCCCATGGTGGAGAAATCGGGAGCTGTGGTTCACCTGAAGCAGGTAAGAGCTGCTCTAGCAACATACCTGTTGGTTCTGGGCTTACCCAAGATCACGGATCTGCCTCTGCTCTTGGGGATCTCCCTGCCCCCAGAACATCCCACTGGCCACTTGTCACCCTTGGCCGTGGTCACACTTTTCAGAGGTCCCTGGCTCTGCACCCCAGGCTCAGGAATGGACCCAGCCAATTTGGGAACTGCTTGTTGTTTGGATTTTTTTTTTTCAAGGGGAAAGTTATCTATCTTTCTGTTGCTGACAGTGATTTCTGTTCTGTCTTCGTCTGTCTTTCAGCCGTTCAACGCCACCCGCATCAACGCAGCCAACATTGAGAACAGGGTGAAGGAGCTGAACAAGATGGCAGATCACAGCGAGAAGGCCAAGCAAGGCTTCTGGGAAGAGTTTGAGGTACGGGATGCTCCTGGGCTCTGTCTCACTTGTGCCTGTGGGTGAAGAATATCATATTTGCATGGTTTTACCACCACTGAGGACCTCTTTCCAACACTGTTGCTCCTTTCCCTGTTTTCCATGTTTTGAAGGTACTTCTTGGTCATTTTTTCCCGTTACTTTTTCTCATATCCGAGGCAATTTTTCCTTCCTCATCCTAGAGCTGCACACCTTTTGTTCCCTGCAGGGATTTGTGCCTTCTCCCCCCATTAACTCTCTCATCAAGCTGCTTCTTGGCTCCCTCTCCCTTCCTGCCAGCTCTCCCTCTGCTCTTCTCCGTGTTAGGACGGCAGCTTGTCGAAAGAGCCCTTCCTTTGCCTCTGCCTCCCCTTATCTGCCCAGAACAGTTTGTTCTCATGTTCTCTGCTCCACAGATGCTGCAGCAGCAAGAGTGCAAGCTCCTCTACCCCAGGAAGGAGGGACAGCGACCGGAGAATAAGACTAAGAATCGCTACAAGAACATCCTTCCTTGTAAGGAGACAACTGGATACTGGTTTGGGTGTTTTTTCCTCACAATTTCTGCAGCTGGGACTGTCCTGCCCTGCAGCAGAGCCCATCGGTGCTCCCGTCTGCGGGACCCCCTCCCATGTTCATTCTGGGCTCTCTTCTCCTGCAGTCGACACCACGCGGGTGGCACTCCGAGACATGGATGAGAGCGTGCCCGGGTCGGACTACATCAACGCCAACTACATCAAGGTAGGTGGGAAGGGGAAGGCACTGTGCTGGGGGCTGTCCTCAGCCCAGCGCTGGGTTGCTGGGGGGTAAGTGCAGTAGTGGTGTAAATCTGGAGGGAATAGCTGGTCAGCACCAGTATCTTTCACTGGGTCCAGGCCAAACACTGGGTTTTTCTGCTCCCAAGGGATCTCATCATTCTACCATGTCCTGTTTGCTCCTATCGAAGAGTTTATCTCAATCCCCTCCTTCCCTTACCTGTTCAGGAGGTCCTACGGGACTGACTCAGCCTCTCTGTCATTGACCATAATCTCTGAGGTCAAATGATAGTTGTCATCTGTGAGCTAAGAGCTGCTTGAAGCTGTATTTCCAGCAATTCTGCTCTGGCACTTAAGCACCAGCCTTTGGGAAACGTTCAAGGTGGTTTCATTCCAGCCACGTCCACCTGCAGCCTCTGCAGCTGCCTGCTGGCAAGGGTCTGCTGCGCAGGAACACGCGTTGCAGCGGCGTAAAGGTCCCTGGAGGCAGGCAGACTGGTGGCTGTTGAAGCTTCATGTCCATGGGTCTGCTGAATAAAGGAAGATCAGCTAGCTCAGAAATCCCACGTGGCAAGGATTTGCTGACTTTGCTGCTAAGGGTGTGCTAGAGCAATTCTCAGTTCCTCACTCCAGCATCGTTGGCTTTTTTTCCTCCCTTCTCCTTTACTCCTCAGAGCATCCCTGAAGATGGGAGGAACTCGGAGCACTGCAAGGTCTATATAGCCACCCAGGGCTGCCTGCAGACAACCGTGAACGACTTCTGGGTCATGGTGTACCAGGAGAACAGCCACGTCATTGTCATGACCACCAAGGAGGTGGAGCGGGGCAGGGTGAGCACTTGGAGGGCGCTGTCCCCAAGCCTGAATGTCACCTGCTTCTTGTGCCAGCCTCTATGGTTGGATGCAAGAGCTAGTTCTAGAGCCAAGCCTTCAAAGCTGAGAGGCTGCTGTGTGCACCAAGCTGGGGGGGTGTTGGGGGCTTGTGTTCAAACGTGATGCAGCATCAGTAATTAATTAATCCTGAGCAGTCAACCTCGCTGTATTATCCTGCCTGGACAATCGCGGGTCCTTGTCCCTAATGACAGGGATCCAAGGGAAAAACTCATTTCAGAATGGACTCTGTGACAAATCTGTCTTGTCTTCCACACAGGAGTGGCTTGGACAGGACTGGGATGCTTGAGGGATTTTTCCATAGATCTAGAGAGCCTGACTTTCCTCTGGTCGTGGCAAAGCGTAGCCCCTGGGAAGCTGCACATACTCACAGTGTTCCATTAAGTTATCTCTGGCCAGCTTTCGTTTCATTTCTCCTCCGTCTTGTAATATTGCTTCGGCTCCTCTTCATGAAAGAAACATGCCGCTTTGCTCTGCCCAGCCCCATAAATATTAACGGGGTGTCCCTCGTGTGACTTGCTCCGAGGCTCTGGGGAATTGCAGGCAGCAGAGAGAGGAGAGAGAAAGCATCGTGCTTGTTAGAGCCAAGCTGGAAAGTGGGGAGGGGGATGCTGCAAGCTCAACGTGAGGGATTGTACAACCTGTCTGTGTGCTACCTGTACACGTTTCACTAACAGTGGGCTGGTGGGGGCCAGGGAATACAGGGAAATACCGTGCAGAGCCACTTAGCAGAACAGCCTTCCCTAATAAAGAGAGGAGCTAATTATGAGATGAGGATGGCTCTGCTCACAACCCTGCTTTTGTACCAGCAGAATCACTGCAGCAAAGAGGGTGTGGGCTGGAGGACGGGGGGCTGGAGCCCCTTGGGATGGAGATTTGGCTCAGGAGTTAGGGAATGACCAAGCCAACAGCTCTGGTGCTGTGTGTCAAGACTTTGGCAAAAGCCTTTGGCAAAGTGATGCCCACCCGCGGAGGGGGGGTTCCCCTGGGGATCACATCCTTCATATGGGAGTGGTCCTTTCTGGTCCATCCCCTGCTCCAAGGAGATGCTCAGTGCGTACGGCTCTCCTTCAGACGTCTACATGGGGAGCACCCTCTGGATGCAGCAGCATCCCTGAGCGGGGAGTTTTGGGGGTCCAGCTCCCCACTCCCAACTAACGAGCAGCTCTCTGATGTTGCTGCAGAACAAATGCTTCCGTTACTGGCCGGACAAGGGTTGCACTAAGGAATACGGGTGCATCTGCGTGCGAAACGTCAGCGAGCGCGAGGCCCAGGGCTACTACCTTCGGGAGCTGGAGATCTTGCGCACCGCCCGTGTGAGTCCTCTGTAGCTGTCTGCCTGCTATGCTGGGAAGGGGCTACGGCTCCCTGGGGTGGGAGCTACAGCTTCTCTGGTTTTTTGGGGGTTTTTTGTTTTTTTAGGGTTTTGGGGGG